CTATAGTTGTATATATTAATTGTGTATATATGTTCATATGAACACACAAGATATAGGCAATAGAAATTAAGTAATCCAAGAGTCCGTTATTCATTGAAGTATCTATTTAAATTTGGATTTATAAAATTATAGTGCAGTAAACTTTAAATGTAGATAATGCAAACATTCTTAGCACCTCTATCTAGTATGTTTAATTAAAATTTGTATAAATGTAAATTAGTGTAAGGATAAAATATCTAATCAAGTTATTTTTCAAAAGATTACCTTTTTGGTCTAAACCTAAACTTTGTTCATTTTGTACATATTCTGTGTTCAATTCTAATTGGACCTTTGTGATGTGTATTTATATACAGTGTGCAGAAAATGTTTGTGAAATTTGGATTACAATTATAGATTATGTATGATGACATTGCTTGAGAATGTTTTGCTTGTAAAAATTTGAAGGTGCAATCAAATACTAGTTTTACTGATTTTCAAGAAGCTAAAATATTAAGCCTTTTCCTTTGTGTGTAGTACTTACTAAACAACTTTTTGTATTTAGGCATTTGCATCAAATTGCTGAATAAGATTAATATCCACATTAATTCAACAATTTTAAAATACTGTTTGGGGAGGGTTGGGTATATAATTTTTTAGCTCTATTTACATCCCAAAGTAGAAAGATTAAATTTATATTTACTAGAGCTATTCAAAGAATACACTTTTCTATATTGTAAAAACATGACAGCAAAGTAAATCATACAAAAAATAAACATTTATACTATTCTGTAAAAAAAGATTTTGCACTTTTCTTTAATAACACCACTTTTAACCACTTAACATGCAAACCTTTTAAACATACCTGATTTCAGGTAAATTTAACATTACTTTTGAAAGCACAACTAAAAACTAAACCTATTATTTTGCCCAACTATCATTAACATAAGTTTCTTTGAAATGAGACATTCATCTTTCCCTCAGTTTGTTGTTAATCCTCACCAGAGGACATTTTTCCATTGTTTTTTTAGAGGCAGTGGAAAAAAGAGGCAGAGAGACACACATCAATTGGTTGTCTGCCTCACCGATGGACCAGGGTGGGGGATGGAGCCTACAACTGAGGTACTGCCCTTGACCGAAAGTGAACCCACAACCCTTCAGTCAGAGCGGGGCGATGCTCTATCCACTGCGTCAAATTGGCGAGGGCATTATTTTAAAAGGCAGAAACTCAATCTTCCTCCTTCCCTTCTTAAGTCTTATATTCCTATGGTGAGCACCTTCCTACAAGAACGAAAAGCAACTTGCAGGTCTGGCCTTTGAACTATATAGGAACCCAGAACCTTAATGTTACTGGTAATAAAACAGAGAAGCAACTTATGGGAAGACTACTGCTTTAGCCTCCCCATCCTTTGATATGGACAACTGACTTTTGCTCAATTCTAATGTAATATGTGAATAAAAATACCTTTAGAGGTCTTCTATTTTAGTTTTATAGCTAAGAGAATGAATACTTATGTAAATACAGGTTTAAACCAGGACCTCCAGCCCTACCTGTGATCAGATTGCATCCCTTAAGCATTTCATATAGGAATTTTGTTGCACCAACCCAGAGAGAAGCCAATCACTAGAAAACCTTGAGTATTATAGTTATTTTCTATTATTATGTAGTTTTATGTAAATTAATTTTTCTTGTTAGGGTGCCTTTCCTTTTAATTTTTTTAAAATTGATTTCAGAGGGAGAGAGGGATAGAAATATCAACAATGAGAATCACTGATTGGCTGTCTACAGCATGCCCTCATTGGGCATCAAGCCTGCAACCCAGGCACATGCCCTGACTGGGAATGAACCTGACCTCGTGGTTCATGGGTCAATGCTCAACTACTGAGCAACACTGGCCAGACCAAGTATTTATTGTCAGTTATAAAGTGTAAAAAACTTTAAAACTTGTTTTAAGTAGTTTTATGAAAGCATTGCATTTAAGGAATCTTAGTTTTTATCAAAAATAAAAATGCATATATTCAGGGTAATGTTTATTATAAGGGCAAAGACTTTAATAACTTATGTTAGCAAATATAATTTGGAAATATATAAAAATACATCATGACCAGATTGGGTTTATCCCAAGAATAAAAAGGATGCCCTCCCCCCTAAAAAATCAATGTTATGTATCATTAAAAAAAAAATCAATGTTAGGTAGTGTTTAAAAAATACCAATGTTCTATATCAACATGCAAAAGAAAAGCTGTGTGATTATCTCAAAAGTTGCAGAAAACAACCTTTGGAGTATACTAAAAACTATTGAATTGTATGCTTTAAAAGGATGACTATCATGGTATGTAAATTACATCTCAATATTTTTTTTTCAAAAAAATTACGTCAAAATTCAGTATCCATTTATGGTTATAAAAACAATTTTCAGCAAATGGGGAATATCAGGGATTCTAAACCTGATAAAGAATTTTTACAAAAAAGCCTACAGGTAACATCATATAAATGGTGAAAACGATGTTTTCCCTCTAAGATTGGAAACAAGGCACTCCTATTCAACATTGTCTTGGAGGTCACTATATAATAAGGGGGAAGGTCACAGATCTATTTGTGGATGATGTGAATACCTATATAGGAAAGTCAAATAATCTTTTTTTAAAAAGCACCAGGACTAGCAAGGTCAGTATGCTAAAGTGTATTTGTATACAGTATTAACACTTAGAAACAGATTTTAAAATGACCATTTATAGCAGCACCACAAAACATGAAATGTACAAGGTCTGTATGTGAAATGTAGGAAACACTGATTTCTAATAATCAAATACCTTAAAAAGAGAGACCATGTTTATGGATTGGAACATTCATTATTAAATTTCTCCCTAAATTAATCTATGGATTCAACATAACTTGTCAAAATCCTAGAAGGAATTTTTGTAAAATTCAACAAGCTGACTATAAAATTTACATGGACAGGTACAACTACAATAGCCAAATATTTTTGAAAAAAAAAAGGATGAAATTGAAGGACTTCAATCTGACTTAAACACATTAAAGCTAATCAAGACTGGTATTGGTAAAAGGTAAAGAGAACAGAATAGAGTCTGAAATAGACATCTATATATTGTCAAATTTTGACAAGTGTTCAAAAGTAATTCACTAGAGAAAGAACAGTCTTTTTAACAAATGTTACTGGGATATCCATATGTGAACATCCAATTTACACGGCACACCAAAATTGGATTATAATCTAAATGTAAACCCTAAAACTACAAAACATCTAGAAAACAGGAAGAAAAAAATGTGACCTTGGTTATAGATTTCTTAGATATGAAACTAAAGAAAAAAATCAATAAATTGGACTTAACAAAATTAATGTCTGCTCTTCAAAGCACACTAAGAAAAGCCATTGACTAGGAAAAATATTTGCAAAACATATCTGATAGTACATTTATGTCCAGAATATGTAATTAATGCCCAAATAGAAAATAACCTCAAATGTGGGCAAAAGATTTGAACATTTCACCTAAAACGTGGATGGGCCCCATTTGGCATGGCTCAGTGGTTGAGCATCAACCTATGAACCAGGTGGTCATGGTTTGATTCCGTCATGGCACATGCCTGGGTTGCAAGGTCAATCCCCAGTATGGGGCATGCAGGAGGGAGCCAATGGATTCTCTCTCATCATTGATGTTTCTCTCTCTCCCTCTCCAATCAAAAATATATTTTAAAAATAAAATTATGTGGATGGCAAATAAGCCTACAAAAAGATGCTCATCATTGTTAGCTATTAGGAAATTTAAAGCTCCAATGAAGTATCACTGCACGCCCATTTCAATGGCTAATTCAAAACAAAACCAAATACTGGGGTGGAAGCAGTGCAACAGGAAATTTCACACATTACTGGTTGAAATGTAAAGTGGTAGTCACTTGGCAAAAAAACAGTTCTGGCAGTTTGTTATCAAGTAAAATATACATTTACCATGTGACCTACCGTATGAATAGAGGACGTTTTTATTTATCGTTCATTAGTGGGACATCGTCTTTTTCACTTTGTAGCGATTATGTTACTCTGAAATTTGTGTACAAGTTTTTACATGGACGTGTTTTTATTTCTCTTGGGTATATGCCTGTCAGTAGAACTGCTGGGTCATTTGGTAACTCTCTTTAACCCCTTGAAAAACTACGAGGCTGGTTTCTAGGATCTCCACTCTCATCACCAATGTGTAAGGGTTCCAACTTCTCCACATTCTTGTTAACACATCTTTCTTATTACAGCCATCCTAGTGGGTATAAAGTGATATCTCATTGTGGTTTTGATTTGCATTTCCTAGATGGCTAATGTCCAACATATATTCTGGTGTTTATCGACCCTTTGTATATCTCTTTTGAAGAATGTATACTTATAGTCTTTACCCATTTTTAAAAATTGGGTTGTCGTTTATTATTGAGTTATAAAAGTTCTTTGTATATTCTAGATACAAATCTACCAAATGATTTGTAAAAATTTTCTCCCATTCTGTGGGTTGTCTTACTTTATTGTCCTCTGAAGCACAAGTTTTTAATTTTGAAGTCCAATTTGTTTTTTGTTGATGGTGCTTTTGGGGTCTTATCTAAGAAACTAACACAGTGTAGGTTCCCGACTGTCTTCTCTAAGAGTTTTATAGCTTTACCTCTTACCATTTAGGTTTTTGATCTATTTTGTGTTAATAATTTTGCAAGATGATATACAGTTATTCCACTACTATTTGTTGAAAAGTAGGAAGAATACATTTCTGAAGAGAATGTTAGTTTTCTCCAAAGAAAAAGTGGACAAAGGTGCTGAGTAGAATTTATAAACTAACTCTAATCAAACATGAATATTTTAAAAATTCCGTATCACACTTTCCCTATAGCGAAAGCAATTAACTGTGCTAAAGGCAGTGATGGAAATAGTATCTTCAATGTTTGTCCAATTTATCCAGCACTTAAAATAATGCAAACCACTGATTTCTAAAATAAGAATATATTAGTACATTCATCAAAGTAACTAAGACACTACAGATATGAACTAGTTTTTAATAAAAGATCAGATAGAAAACTTAGATTTATAAAGTTGGTGACTTACAAATAGGTTTCCTTTAAATAAGGTTTATCTTGGTGAATCTAAACTAATTCTATGGCAAACAAACACCACAATGTTCAGACTTCTCAGCAATAGTTCTTTAAATAAATTGCAGTGCAACTCTGATTACATTTCAAAACTTAAACCTTTGTTTGAGGTAGAATATAGAAAAATATCAAAATATACTACTTAGGGTACATCTCAATAAAACTCAACTTTTATCCAGTAATCAATCTTTTGCAATTTTTAGTTTTCTTATTAACTGTACTTTTTGAACATTCGCTCAATAACAGGATATTTTACATACACAGGTATATGTGCTTGCTTCTTTTATCCATTAAAATATTCCCATTTATGAAAGTACATATACCTACATGTTTTCCTAGTTATCTTTTCAACTCTGGGTGTGAGAAAATTGGCATTATATTTCCATCTTTGACAGTATTTACGTTACTCCTAAATTTCTGTAAAACTTAAGACAATCTTTTTCATACCTATTATCTCAATTGACCATCTTCTTCCAAATTATTACTCACATGCTATAAAATTCCATTATTCATTCAACACTGAAATGTTTTATTATTTTAGCCTCCCCATAAATACAAGTAGATTTCATAAAGGCTTCTCCTCATTTGCTGAAGAGCATTGGGCTCTTTCAATAGGAGTCAAGTAATTATCCACTCTATTATTCAAAGTACTATTTCAAAGTCCAGAGACAATGAATTGTGAAAATTACATCACCTGTGTACGTCCCTAAAACTGTAATTCCCAGCTTCACTGCAGCACAAGGAACCGCTTCATGGCTCAGGTGCTTACTGTCCACCTGATAAAGCATAAGTATTTTTATTTTAGGATACCCTGGCAAAGGGACTTTGTTGTATCTGATATTTTAATTTAGCCTCAATCTAAAACCATACATTAATTTTCATATGTAAATAAAATTATATTCAAGGTATTCTGTCAACCAAAGCTCTTTTAAGGAATGTAGTCTATTTGTAAAAGGAGTCAATGTGTTGGTGACTCCTTGTTGTTATTTTCTCGTTTTTAAAGTAGACTGAATAAGTTAAAATGATGTCCAGTCACATTATCCAGTCTTAACGGTACTAAATTCAAAGCCAGTACTTCTTGTGTAGTCTGTTTACTGCTTTGTAAGGATGATAACTTTGAAATGCCACAATCCATACCAAAGTTCAAGCAGATTTTATAAAATATGCAAATTGTGAATTGTAATACAAACCTGTCCACTGTGCAGAATGGTCAATTTAGAAAATATGATAGGTTGAACTTGAAAATAAATGTTGACCAACCATTCTTAATATAAATTTAAATATATTTTGGGTCTCTCATTTGGATATCCATGGTTACTTAGCAGATGCCTGAATTTATTGGTATTTAGTAAAACTTAGACATTTGCAATCCTCTAAAGATGACCAGTGTTTCCTTGACATTTTCAATTCAAGTCTTTCTGACTGGTGTTAAAATGAGCTTTATCTTTAGCTCTCAACTTTAAGAAGCAGATTATTATATCCTTTAGTAACTTTACAAAGTGATTGGTGGCACACACTTCTCCATCAAAGAGATGCTCATCTAAATCTACAAAAAGATAACTATGTCCAGAAAGCTCACATAATATTTCCTGTTGAAGATATAATTCCCTCTGTTTAGGAAGTTGTTCATAAACTGCCATTCTTGAATGGGTTCTTACCACCTGCTCACAAATGTTTATGACTCGACATAAACTTTCTGAAGGGATATGCAAACCATTCTTCTTTTTAACACACAACAGTGACCCAATTTTAGAGGTTTTGAGATCCGATGCATACAGTGCACTGATGCAGTCCTCACAAGTTAAAAGAGTTGATAATGTATCTGCAATATAAACAGCACAAAAGGTGAGATTTCGCCTATAATCTGATAGATCTAGTAATGCCTCACTTACTGAACAATTAGACCAGTCTTGGCAAATATCCTTGTTGTGAAAAAGAGTCTTTATAATGTTGACACCATATTGGCGTTGAACTGTCCAAAGGTTTAAATCTGTCCTTCGAGCAATTGAGATGTCGAGGATGCTCAGGTCACTTAGAAAAACTTCATCTTGTAATCTGTATCTGGTCTCCAAATTATGGTAAGCTTTCTTGAATGCCATGCAGGTAGGGTTAGAACTGGTTGCTAGTATTTTTCTAAGCATTTTTAGAAATAATTCCAGATGGTCTTGACTGAATTTGTAAGTAAGAAGATATGGAAAAGGCCTTACCTTTGGGAAAACATAATTTTGATAGAGCCATTTTAAGCTCTCAGCATTAAGCAAAAATCCCAGGAATCCTAGTTTTCGCTTACCTTTAATTATTTCATTATTGCTAGTATCAGATAATGTAACAAAAATCGTCTTGGCTTCAGTTAATACCTGATTAATTTTATTAAAAGTTGCAAGCATTAGAGGCCCTTTAAATCCCTTTCCATAATAGTTCCTACTATTAAAAATGTCAAAGAGATTATTAATTAAGCGTACAAAGTGAATGGTACCAATACAGTTTTGAAAAGGTGGCAGGCCTAATGACAGCAAACATTCTAACGCACTGGCCACACTCTCAGTGAAGAGTTGGGCAGCTGAATTCACTTTTAGTACATGGTTTTTCAAATTTCCAAGTTTTCTTGGGATTCTTTCCATGTTTGATAATTCCTGCTCCTCTAGTGCTACTAACTCCACAAGGTGCTGCCAATGTGCTGTGCCATTACTGAACTGAATGCTTTGAAAACTCTGAAATGAATTTCTTATTAATCTAAGCAAGTGGCAAGAATCAAAGAAGTATGCAATCTGTTGACTAGAAGATGAAGGATGCTGGAATGTGTACTTCATGTTGTCTCCATCAAGATGTATCCCCAATGCTTTTGCCATCTGAATACTCTGAGCTGTAACATCAGATGTAACAGCCACAACTGTGATCCCTATGTCACTCAGTTTGCCAATAGTAAGACGAAGCAGCTGAGCTTGCAAATATCCAGACGCTCTGTTTACAAAAAAATAACCAAGAGGTGTTTTCCAATGACCACAAATACCCACTGCCATCAACAAAATAGTTTCTGAGGCAAGTGGCATTTCATCAGCATCAAGTTTTCCAAGACCAAAGTCCATAAACCCTTGCAAATGTTGACTGCTGGGATCCCACTGAACCTGTTGCTTGAGAGGTACACCTTTTATTATCAGTGAACAATACTGATATAGCTGGTCCCCATTCTCTACTCTTTGTTGAAGAAAAGAAAAAACGTTGCTGTTGAAACCTGGACTGGGTTTGCATTTGGATAACCATCTGGAAAATATAAAAATTGAAAAATATAAGACACAAATGAAGAAATTTAAAAAATTTTAAAAAGCCCTAGCCGGTTTGGCTCAGTGGATAGAGTGTCGGCCTGCAGACTGAAGGGTCCCGGGTTCGATTCCGGCAGGGGCACATGTCTGGGTTGTGGGCTCAGTCCCCAGTGGGGGGCGTGCAGGAGGCAGCCCATCAGTGATTCTCTCTCATCATTGATATTTCTATCTCTATCCCTCTCCTTTCCTCTCTAAAATCAATAAAAATATATTTAAAAAAAATTAAAAAGAGAGAAAATGCCGCCCAGGAGGTGTGGTTAAGCATTGTTGACCCAAGCACCAAGAGGATGGTTTGATTCCTGGTCAGGGCACATGCCCAGGTTGTGTGCTCAATCCTCATTGGGGGTGTGCAGAAGACAGCTGACGGATACTCATCAATGTTTCTATATCTCTCGCCCTCTCCCTTGCTCTCTCTCTAAAATAAATAAATAAAAAACATACCTTTTTTAAAGAGAGAGAAAATGCCTTAAATGGTACTGAAGTAGCCTTAAAAAAATCTCTAAAGCAGTGGTTCTCAACCTGTGGGTCGCGACCCCTTTTGCGGTTGAATGACCCTTTCACAGGGGTCGCCTAATACCATCCTGCATATCAGATATTTACATTACGATTCATAACAGTAGCAACATTACAGTTATAAAGTAGCAACGAAAATAACTTTATGGTTGGGTCACAAAATGAACTGTATTTAAAGGGCCAGAAGGTTGAGAACCACTGCTCTAAAGACATAAAGCCAAGTGTAAGTAGCCAAATTCTCAAGTAAATAGAATTATCATAAAATAGTAAGATAATAGAGAAACTTAGAAACACAGAGTAGTATTTTAAGATGCAAACATACCACAAAATAATTTTTAATTTCTCATTTACTTCTTTTAAAAGTATAGAAATCAACTACTCAGTTTGTTCTAATTGATGTGTTTAGAATTTAGATCATAAACCAGTCTGACCTATACATTCAATGAAATGAGAAAATTGTTGAAGGGGAAGGAAACATTGGGGACGTTTAGTACATCTACCTCATTTTATAGTTAGGAATCTGGGACAGAGGGAAAGGTTAAGCCTCTGGACCTATATTGTGCTGCTAGTTATGTACAAGTAAAACCCAGTTCTGTTGATGCCTTGTTCAGAGTTTTTCTCATTGCTCCTTATAGCCTCAAAAGTATACCCTTGGCGCAACTAAGGAGTCTTCAAGGTAAGTGTCCAATAGTTGGAGAATGCCTGAATTACTAGGATACAACTCCCTGATACTATGCAGCTATTAAAGATCACAACTATGTAAAAAACCAGTAATCTAAGTCCAGAGGAAAGCCTATTAGAAAATTCCCTGAATGTTAACAATAATTGCTTATACATAATGTAGAGGAACAATTACTGACTTTTCCTTCCTTTCTCTAGTTTCTAAATGTTTTAGTAGTAGTATTTTAATAGTGTATATGGAGAAAAATTCTCATTCATTTTTTAAAGAGGGGATATAATGCACAATGTGGTGATTATAATAAATAATACTGTGTTATGTATTTGAAAGTTGCAAAGAGAGTACATCTTAAAAGTTCTCATTACTACCTGGCCAGTTTGGCTAAATGGTTGGAGCATTGGCCCATGGACCAAAGGGTTACAGGTTCCCATTCCTGGTCAAGTGTGTGTATCTGGGTTATGGGTTCCATCCCCAGCCCCGATGGGGGCACATGCAGGAGGTAAACAATCAATGTGTCTCTCTCACATCTATGTTTCTCTCTCTTTCTCTTATTGATGTGTTTCTCTCACATCCATGATTCTCTCTGTCTTTCCCTCTCTCTTCTACTCTCCCTAAAAATCAATGGAAAAATATCCTCAGGTGAGGATTAACCAAAAAAGAAAAAGTTCTCACCACAAGAAAAAATATGTTATGTGTGTGATGGATGTTAACTAGACTTATTGTGGTGATCATTTTACAGTATATACAAATATTGAATAAGTGTACACCTGAAAGTAATATAATTTTATGTCAATTACATCTCAATTAAAAAAAAAAGATGTTTTCCCCAAAATGGAAAGAAAAAAAAGTCACGATAACTGAGGGCCTTTTTCCCACCAGGCCTCAATTTCGCCCTTCTTTAAAATGAGGGGGTTGAACTACATGGTATCTAAGAGTTTCTTCAGCTCAGAGCCCCTATGACTGTGTTTTCAAATTGAAGCAAAAAGAAACCATGAGGCACCTTCCAGAAGAGGTGGATGGCTCCTGCCATTCCTGGCAGGTCTTTGCCCCAACTCCAGTGAATTAAATGGAGTGCTGTTTTTTAGACAGCAACTTGAGATACACTGTATTTCTTTCTTATAGCTATTCAAAATCCTAATTACCATCTAGGCATTCTTTCAATTGGACAAATATTCATCAAGGGACCATTGTGTTCCAAGCACCGCTCAGGGCTAGGGTGTTTGGGTGTAACAAAGAACCAGATGTAGGCATCGTACTTGGGCAGCTCATAGCACAGTGTAGAATACAGTGTTATCGTACTTAAGATTCAGTTCCATATAGTGTGTGCAAGAGAGGTGCCTAATCCAGAATTGGGAGAATGGCAGGCCAGGCTTCTGAAAGGATGTAATACCTAGTCTGGGTCTGAAAGGTGAGGATCAATCATCAGTACTAACAGATAGGAAGACTGGGCAAATTTCAGGCAGACAGAAGAGTAAGGCCCTGAAGCAAGAAGCAAGAAATGCCTTACGACTGGAGCGTGGAATGAAAGAAGGCAGAAGGGAAGTGAAGTGAGAAGCTGCAGGGCCAGGAGCCACATCTCAGGAAGCTCAGTAAACCACAGGAAGGAGTTGGCCTTTAGTCTACGGGAAATGGGAGGCTTATGCAGCAGGAAAGTAACTGGTATGGGTTGAATTGTGCCCCTCAAAAAAGTTCTATTGTAATTCTAATCCCCTGTACCTCAGAATGTGACCTAATTTGGAGATAGAGTCTTTATAGCAGTAATCAAGCTAAAGTGAGGTCACTCCAACATGACTGTGTCCTCATAAAAAGAGGGAATTTAGACAAAGAAACACACATAATGGAAGATGAGGTGAAGAAACACAGGAGAAGACTACCATCTACAAGTCAAGAAGAGAGGCATGGAATAGACCCTTCCGTCCCAGCCCTTAGTAGGAACTAACCCTGCAGACATCTTGATTTTGGACTTCTAGTCTCCAAAACTCTGAGACAATAAATTTGTTGTTTAAGCCAAGTAAATAAACAGGTAAAGAGGAATCAGTAAAACCGGTGACAAAAACAGTAAAAATTGAATACTAAATTTAGAAGATATTACAATACAGTCACTGTGTTATTTGCTTTACACTAAGAAAATTATAAATACATCTTTGTATTTCGATCACAAATCCAAAAAAATTATTTATCATAATCTGGGCTCTGGACAACCTTCACTGACAACAGCTACAGTGCTTAAGAAAAATTCAGATTTTTAAAAAATGTATTTTTTATTGATTTCAGAGAGGAAGGAAGAGGGAGAGATAGAAACATCAATGATGAGAGAGAATCATTGATTGGCTGCCTCCTGCACGCCCCCTACTGGGGATTAAGCCCGCAACCCGGGCATGTGCCCTTGACCGGAATTGAACCTGTGACCCTTCAATCTGCAAGCTGATGCTTTCTCCAGTAAGCCAACCCGGCTAGGGCAAAACCCAGATTTTTGTTCTTTGCTTCAAACCAATGATATAATTCTAGAACCATTCTAGATTTTTTAGCATAGTCACATATTAAGACTACTGAAGTGTAAAAGAAATTCCAACATTTCAAGATTCAAATTCTATTACTCAGAATGTCTCTATCGTTTAGAAGATGCAAAAGATGGCAGACTATGTCTTCATTTTGTTAGTGAAAATATTGATTGTGTTAACATGCACACACCACCTAGGAAATTTCTAAAAAGAGAAAATGGACTAATAAAAGAGAGTGTGAATACTAATAGCCTTAATCTCTATAATGCAATAAAGTAATTCACTTACGTTCTCAGGATGGAAGAATGAGGCAGTTTAAGAATCTTTTTTACATAATCATAGACTTTGCTACTGCACAAATAGAGTGTACATGCAAACTGCTTCATTTCTGTGGAGTACTCAGATGTTTCACTCCAGTTGTACAATTCCCATTTAAAATCTGTTAAAATAAATTTATTTATTCTTTTTTGATGAAAACGTATAGAGTAACATTTTCAGGTATAGAGCATAAAATTTTCATTTAAAATGCACTGGGCAACAAAATTCAAATACAATCACATTTTAACTGAGTTTGTTCAGAGATTAATATCCTATCTTTGAGCCTGTTGACCAACTTATGCTGTTCATCTTGAATCATTTCACTAGAAAGAGGGAAGAAAAAAGTTTCCACTTGAGTCACTATATTTAACTTCACTGACAGCCTGAGTGGAGATTTTTAGAGACACAGGGAAGAAAATAAAACAACTGGATAAAATTAAGCCTCTTGATTATGAGGAGATTTTTTGTTTTATTTTGTTCCCTGGTTACATTTATAGGAGGGTAAAAATTAGTCATGAGAAACATTTCTGGGGATAGGGTACTATTTGGATTCAACAGACAATCTTTCCTACCACTGAGAAAAAACAAAACAAGCACCCCTATTCCTGGTGGGACATCTATTAACTACCTCTATTACTCACTTGGAAAAACACAAACTATTCTCCTCTAGAGATACCTACTCTTCTAGAAGCAGGACATATTTCTTATTCACCAGAATGTAAATTCAAATAATCTGCTTCTTTCATCAAAGAGTAAGTTAGCAATTCTTATTTTGCCCCTCTTTAAACATCCTGGTTCACAAAGACTCGGTAGTTTTTAAAATGGACACATATATTTATTCTATGGAATATTTTAGAAAATATTTGGAGATTCACACAATTTTTAAACTCAAAGGGATTCTGCAAATTATCTAGTTCAACTCCACTGCAAAAGGACTTTAGTGATAAATTATGTAGCAGTTAAAACTGTAGCCCTGACCGGTTTGGCTCAGTGGATAGAGTGTCGGCCTGCGGACTCAAGGGTCCCGGGTTCGATTCCGGCCAAGGGCATGTACCTTGGTTGCGGGCACATCCCCAGTCGGGGGTATGCAAGAGGCAGCTGATCGATGTTTCTCTCTTATCGATGTTTCTAACTCTCTATACCTCTCCCTTCCTCTCTGTAAAAAATCAATAAAATATATTTTTTAAAAAATAAAAAAACTGTAAAGAATTTGAGCCTGGCTGGTGTGGCTAAGTGGTTGACCATCAACCTATGAACCAGGAGGCCGCAGTTACATTCCTGGTCAAAGCACATAACCAGGTTTCTGGGCTCATTCCCCAGGGTGGGGATGGGGGGTAGGGGATGGGGTGCAGGAGGCAGCTGATGGTGATTCACTCTCATCATTGATGTTTTTATCTCTCTCTCCCTCTCCCTTCCTCTCGGAAATCAGTAAGAGTATCTTTTTAAAAACTGAAGAATTTGAGGTAGGGGAACAAAGGGGGGAAATGGAGGGCATCTGTAATACTCTCAACAACAAAAATAAACTTTAAAAAAGAATTTGAGATAACATGGGTAAATATTATTATAAAAAGTGAAAAGTACACTATCTGGCATAAACCATCTGATCTCAACTCTGGGAAACAGGATTAACTGTTATTTTTATCATTTATATACTTCTTTGCTTTTCTTATAATAAACATATAACTTTCAAAATTGGAAAACCGTAAGAGGATTTTGGCGATTACTTTTCGTTCTTCTTGCTTATGCTATGGAGGTTTTTCACTTCTCAGCCAAAAAGCATGTTTTCATAAGCAAAAGCAAAGTAAATACAGGTACTTAAGATATTTCAGCCGAAACTGGTTTGGCTCAGTGGATGGAGCGTCGGCCTGCGGACTGAAGGGTCCCGGGTTTGATTCCGGTCAAGGGCATGTACCTGGGTTGCGGGCACGTCCCCAGTGGGGAGTGTGCGGGAAGCAGCTAATCGATGTTTCTCTCTCATCGATGTTTCTAACTCTCTATCTCTCTCCCTTCCTCTCTGCAAAAAATCAATAAAATACATTTAAAAAAAAAAAGGTATTTCAGAAAAGTTAAGAGCTCTTTTGTAAATATTACAGGTCATTGGGGAGCATACCTGAAAACTGTGCTCGTAGCAGACATTCTGTTTCTTCAGAAAGCAGTCTCTCTTCTACCAGTGCGTCAATTAATCGTAAACCCTCTCTCTTCTTGGTCATCCTGTAGTTTTTGACAGGAACAAGTCTTTTTTTGGACAATGGTAGCATCTGTTGCACTTCAGCCAGTTTCTCTGCTACTGTCAAAGGTCTCTTCAAACTGTAGTTATGGTCCTCAGTAGCAACCTCTTCAGAATCATCAGGAAGTGGCTCTTTTAGGATTTTCTGTCTTGCTTTACCGTTATTATGTACACCTTGAAGAACCTATGACAGAAATAGAAAATTACGATTATTTTAGAAATTATCACACAGAAGATTATCTATAAAAATACCACTAAACACAAAACACTCACCTGGTTGCTGTGGAGTCAGTTATGAAAGAGAGGTCACAACCTATGATTTTTAAAAAATGTACAGTCTGTAGGACAATGTAAACAGGGTTTCTTTTTTTTGCATCTATATAGAAATAGTAATATGATGCTGAAAGTTTCTGAAATGATTAAAGTAACCAGAGAAAGATGGTAACTTGTGCATAGATATGAGTTTTGAGTAGTTCTCTGAAGGAGCAATAACATGGCTTAATGGAGGGGACAGGGAAGTTACTTGTGCAAAAAGGAAGGCATAGTGGACAGAGCCTGAGCGTTAGAATTAAGACTAACCAGTGTTTGAATTCCGGCTCCCTCACTTGTTAGCTGTCACCTAATCTCTACAATCCCTCACCTCCTCATTTGTTTTGAGGATACAAGAATGTATGTAAATCTCCTAGTACAATGCCTAACTATTGTAGGTCTTAATAAATAGTAACTATTTTTGATTTTGCACAAAAGCATGAAAGCAAGTCAATTTACTGTGGGTAAGTTTAAGTATATGTGGTTCAAAATGTTAGTTCAAAGCAATTAGAAATACACAGATCGGTTAAATAGGAAGCTTTGGGACTTACGAGTTTTGATTTAAGAGCATCTATTATTCTTTTGAATAGGGGAATAAGAAAAAACACCATCACAAGAAGTAGACTCCATTGAATAAGAGGAAAGTAAGAGTAGTTGCAACAGACTAAAACAGTTAGATGACTATGCAGTCTGTATAGAGACTGAGCCATGTACAAGAGTGTGGCTAAGGGGTCCAAGGATAAAATAAAAACAATCAGCCTGGCCAGTGTGGCTCAGTGGTTGAGCATCGACTTTTGAACCAATACTGGTGACTGAGTCATATAAAGTCTTCTATTTCTGTACTAGAAGCCCAGTGTACGAATTCGTGCACCCATGGGGTCCCTCGGCCTGGCCTGCGGGTTGGGGCCAAAATCTGCTCTCTGACATCCCCCAAGGGGTCTTGGATTGCGAGAGGGCACTGGCCAGGCTGAGGGACCCCACTGGTGCACGATCGGGGCTGGGGAAGGACAGAGGGAGGGCTCCAGGGTGTGTTCCGCCTGTTTCGCTCAGTCCCAATCAGCCAGCCCTGGCCAGCGATTGGGGCCGATCAGAGCTGTCTCACCCAGTCCCTATCAGGGCCAATCAGGACAGGTGGCCGGGGAGGGACCGAGGGAGGGCTCCAGGGCCTGTCTGGCCCCATCTCGCCCCGTCCCAATCAGCCAGACCCCAGGAGCAAGCTAACCTACTGGTCGAAGCATCTGACCCTGGTGGTCAGTGCACGTCATAGCGAGCAGTTGAGCGGCCTTAACATATCATTAGCATATTATGCTTTGATTGGTTGAACAGACGACTGGACAACCAGACACTTAGCACATTAGGCTTTTATTATATAGGATATCCCTCTATGTCAACACTAATAATTAGGTACATCTTTCGTCAAAATCAGTAACATTCCTGGGAGGAGCCAAAAAAAAGGGGGGCAATTTCTAAGTATTATGAAAACTGCCACATATGGGCCCAACTGGCATGGCTCAATGGTAGAGCATTGACCTATGAACCAGGAGGTCATAGTTCAATTCCAAATTGGGGCACATGCCTAGGTTGCCGGCTCAATCCCCAGTGTGGGGCTGATTCTCTCTCATCATTCATGTTTCTAACTCTCCCTTCTTTTCTGAAATAAAAAAATACATTTTTTTAAAAACTGTTACATATGTGAAAGCCTGAATTCTATGTCCAGGCTTGTTTATGCCTGAGTTGACTTTTGTGATCAATTTAGTAACCTCTATGTATATCTACACACATGATCTGCATTTATATACCTTACTTTATATAAAGCTCCAAAAGCAGTATTACTAGTATTATAGATTTAAATATAAACAAAATAACACTAATTTTCTAAGCATTTAAAATTTATTATTGGATTTTACGATGTAGGGTGTTGTGTTTTTTTTTAATCTTTGCAGATTTTAGCTATAATGTAAGCTATCTTGATTTTTAAAGGCTCAGTAAAATTTAGTTTTGTTTATGCATAGATTTAAATACCTTGTATAGAGAAACAGAAGGCACAGCTCCTTTTTTCAGCATTCTTCTTAAGCCATATGACTCAAAGTCACTTTCCAGAAAATGTTTGGAACATAGCATAGCACTTGGTCCTGGGATCCAAATCTTTTTGCTTATGGGGTCCACACGATTAACAGCCCTGATCCATTTTGAGCGCAGTATGGTATCAGTTGGAAATCTATAGCAATCATATTAAAGTTCTATTAACATGAAAATGTTATAGTAATGATACATACAGCAGACATAAACCCATCTATTTTAAATGCTTTATATAACCATTAAGTCCAGTTCAAGTCAATTTACTTAATCTGATTTCATTTTTCAAAATTATTTGGTATTTCTTTTTTTTTTATTGCTTAAAGTATTACAAAGGGCATTACTTATGTGTCCTCCCCTCCACCCCCGCCCTTGAAAATCCCCTGGCCTCCCCTACCCCCATTATTTGGTATTTCTGAATCCAGAAGTACAATAGTGATCCTGTCTGTTCCAATTTGTATGGGGGCAATCCCTATATTAAATATCCTACCACATTTTGTCTTTACTGCCTATACTGAACAGAATCAGCTCAAATTTAATGTGTTTTCCTTTTCTGGCAATTTTCCCCCTTACGGCGATTTTAAACCAGGTCCACAAATTCTTTGTACTCTTCCAAGCGGTGAAGCCTAATTCCCCTCCCCTTGAGTGTGGGCTGGAGTTAGTGATTTGCTTGTAAGGAATACAAAAATAGCAGACGTGATGGTGGGCAATGAAACTGGATCATAAGGGGCACCGAGGCTTCCTCCTTACTCTACTGAATGGTTTTTCTCCAAGTGGAAGTTATCTGCCATGTCATAAACAGCCCTATGAGCTCCATTTGGTAAGAAACTGGCCTCCAGCCGAAGGACCTGTGAGCAAGCCTTGTTGAAAAAAGTCCCTTCAGCCTTAGTCAAGCCTTATCCAATCTTTCCTTTTATGATGTATTTTCATTGATTTCAGAGAGGAAGGGAGAGGGAAAGATAGAAACATCAGTGATGAGAATCACAATCGGCTGCCTCCTGCATGCCCCTCATGAAGGATCTAGCCTGAAACCCCTGCATGTGCGCTGACCAGAAACAGATCCTCCACTTCCTGGTTCATGTGTCAACCCTCAACCACTGGGCACACTGCCCCAAAAGCCTTCAATCTTAGGAGACGCCCTGTAACACCCAACTAATCCACTCCTGAATTTTTTAAAAATCTTTGCTGTTGAGAGTATTACAGATGTCCCTTTTCTTTTAACCCCAACGCCCTCCTGCACCCCATTTCTGCCCCACCCCAGGCATTCACCTAGTGCAGTGATGGCGAACCTATGACACCCGTGTCAGAAGTGACACGCGAACTCATTTTTTAACATTTTTCTTTGTTAAATGGCATTTAAATATATAAAATAAATATCAAAAATATACATCTTTGTTTTACTATGGTTGCAAATATCAAAAAATTTCTATATGTGACACGGCACCAGAGTTAAGTTAGGGTTTTTCAAAATGCTGACACGTCGCACTCAAAAGGTTTGCCATAACTGGCCTAGTGTCTGTGTCCACAGGTAATGCATAGAAGATTTTTGGTTAATCTCTTCCTGCCCCACTCTGAGATTCCTCAGTCTGTTCCATGCCCCCAATTTTATCTTAATCAGTTTATTTTGTTCATTAGATTCCTTGCTCATTTACATTTAGATACAACTGTTGATAGATATGTACTTACTGCCATTTTATTGTTCATTTTTTATCTTTTTCCCCCCTTCTTCCTCATCTTAAAGAACAGGCTACACTTAGCCTGGCAGGTGTGGCTCAGTGGTTGTGCGACCCATAAATATGAGGCTCCCGTTGGATTCCCGGTCAGGGACCCATGCCCGGGTTGCAGGCTAGATCCCCCGGGGGACCGTGCAGGAGGAAGCTGATCAATGACTCTCTCTCATCATTGATATTTCTCCCTCTCCCTTCCTTTCTGAAATCAATAAAAATATGTGTGTGTGTTTTTAAAAAGTTCTTTATCAATGGCTTAACTCTACACCTCACATTACCTTAATAGGTTACTTCTTTTTTTTTAAATCCTCACTGGAGGATATGTTTATTAATTTTTAGATAGAGAGGAGGGGGGAGGGCGGTAGAACGGGGCAGAGAGGGAAAGACAGAAACATCCATGTAAGAGAGGAACATCAATCGAACCAACAATCAACAGATTGCCTCCCCCTTGCGCCCCAATCGGGGATCCAGTCGCAACGCAGGTAAGCGCTCTGACCGGATGGAACCCACAACCTTTCCCGTGCGCCAGACCACGCTCCAAAGAATGGAGCCGCCCCGCCAGGGTTAGGTTCCCTCCTTTTAAAGTATACTTCTGTCTCCGAGGACGTCTTGCCCACGTTTCTACTTCCCAGCGGGCCTTGAACACTGATTTTAATCCTGGACCATAGATGTGGGCTCCATCTAGACCGGCCTGAACATCTGCCCTCCCTAGATCCGGCCAGAACACGTCTGGCCTGGTCGCGCCCGGCGACGGCTTCTGAGCAACTTGTAATGACGGGCACGACCGGGAAAAACAGACCTGCACTCACGCCCACGAGCAGCCCATACAGAGTGGAAGCGCACGCCTCAACGGCTCTTCCAAATTCCCCTCGCTTCCCGCCTCCTCACGTTAAATAAGTCAGAAAGGAAACACAATTCCTTTCAAGGAACCGTCGCGAAAAGCCAGAGGCAGGCCGTAGGCCTTGAGAACGCATCAGCAATTTGGAGGTAATCACTGAGCGGGCGAAACACGAACGACTTTAACCCTCACAGTTCCCGGGTTTCCTTCCCCAGCCCGCGTCACGCAGGTCAAGCACGTCACGTGGACGGCGCCACACTCAGCCCCTCCCACGCTGGCCTCCTGCCCGCCTGGCGGGGCCAGGAGTTAAGACAGCTCCGAGGCTGCGCTCACGCACTGATGGAAAGAGTAGCCCTGCTTGCGGCTCTCCAGGGTGTCCTTGGTGCTGCAACCCACAGCGGAGCAACTTCGGGTCATCTTCTTGCAACGTGGGGTCCCACTTCCGGTGCCCCCGAACACCACGAACCACGAGGAACTTAGCTCCGCCCGCTGGGCGCCTGCGACCTTTATTTGTCGGGAAGGCGGGCTTTTACGGCGCAGGACTCTTAGCCTTCCTTCCTGTGGGCGCTACGCTAGACGCCGTGACCAATCACAGGCTACGTGATGTCTCAGCAACCAATCCGAAAGGTCAAGGGCACGAAGACGAGCACTTGATCGCCCCGCCCTCTCTGTTGGGGTGGTTGGGCGTTTTGCTGTAATGGGCCTCTTGTTCGGTTCTTTTCACCCGCTGTTCTTAAATCCAGGGCCATCGCGCTGTTTGTGAGGCTCACCCCGGAGATGAGAAGCGGAGAGGCAAGGCCAACGTTACGGAGAATCCAGGGGCGATGGGTCTCCGGCTGAAAAGAAATGGAGGATATGATGGGAAGAGGGAGAGGAATAAACGCGTGTGCCCTAGCAATATTGAAGACAAATTGGGTTCAAAATAAGTTAGAGAGGCATGCCATTTTTTATTTTTATTTTTTGAGTTCTATTTGGTTACTTCCCTTAGGGGGAGAGAATGTAGGAGCTGTTGGTAGGTTTGGGCGTAGGTGTGTGACCCCGGAGGGTCTTGAATGATTTGTGAGAATGCGTCGACTTTTAATTCAACGAAACTTTCCTGCAACACCCTTTGAAACAATGCGGAATTAAGGAAATTAGGTAAGTTTTTTCCAATAGTACTGGGGGGGAGGGGCAAGAGGAAGGGCAGTGAAATGATTTTGTTTAAGGGGTGGGGCCATCAGATCTTAGGACGACGTCTCAGTTTACGGTATGAGATTTCGATCTTCATAGAAGAAACAAAATGGGACCAATGAGGGTATGGTTTGAGTCTTTGAAGAGCTCCTGAGCATATTAAGTACTTTCTTTTTCTCCCGCTTAATAGAAATGTTTGTAACTTTTTCATTTCCTTTTCTAGCTCGAAAGAATGATTGCTTCCCCCCCCACCACCCACTTGTATACTTTGTCCAGATTCCAGACAAAAAGACTCAGCTCAAGGTATTATTTATTCCCATCTACTTCCAGTTATGTTTATATCCTATTTGAGTAAAATTAACAGCTGTTGCTTACATAGCTTTCTTAAAAGTCACATTTGGGGAACATTGATCCTTGGGGAATGAGCTTGCTTGGCTATGAGACGTGCAAAGGGTAGGACCTGGAGTTAAAAATCACATTCGGTTGTTTCGACTGTTAGAAACTTTTCACCAGTTAAAAATGAATGAGGCCAAATAGAAGTAAGTAACAGCCTTCAGTTATTTTTAAAGAAAAAGTTGGTTGCCTTACTATTTTATGTAACAGTTATATTGAGTTAGGTAATTCATGTACCATACAATTGACCCACATAAAATGTACAATTCAGTGGGTGTTAGTATATTTGTGAGTTGTGCAACCATCACCATTTTTGGGAACATTTTCATCACTACTCCCTCCCCAAATTCATTCTCCTTGGCAGTCCTTACATCTTCTCTCCCACAGCCCCTGGTAACTATTACTCTCTTTGTGTAGATTTGCCTATTCTAGGCACTTCATGTAAGTGGAATCAAACTAATAAATGGTCCTTGTAATTGACTTCTGGCTCCTTTCACTTAGAATGTTTAAGGTTCATCCATGTTGTATTATATATAGGTAGTTCATTTTTTTTTTATTGCCAAAAGATTTTCTGTTGTATATGCCACATATATTTATCCATCCATCAGTTGGTGGATATTTAGGTTGTTTCCATTGGTGGCGGGGAGAGGGGGCTATTATGAATAATGCTGCTGTGAACATTAGCAAACAAGTAAGTTTGTGTGTAGACCTGTTTCTCAGAAAGAGGGAGAAAGAGAAACATTGGTTGCCTCCTGCATGCCCCCTATGGGGTATTGAACCCCAAAACTGGGCATGTGCCCTGCAACCTTTTGGTGCATGGGATGACACTCAACCACCTGAGCCACACCATCCAGGGCAAAATATGCTCTTATGTTGAGCCTTTTGAGGAAATACCAAACTGTTTTTCCAAAGGGGCTGCACTATTTTGCATTAGCAATGGATGAGGGTTCAAGTTGCTCCACATTCTCATAGGAGTGAAGTGGTATCTCATAGTGGTGGTTGCCCTGTTTTTAAGGACTCAAAGTTTGTAAAGAATCTGCTAGAAGGTGCTTCTTGAGTACAGAGACTATTTCCAAGGTGAATTTGTCTTTTCAGCCCCTGGCACACAAATAGATAGATATATGTTTCTGCTCTAATGTCATACGTGTTCCTGAAAAACCCTTATGTTCAGAAAAGTGCATTTAAAAGGAGGTGGGCTTGTGGGAAAAATAGGGTTGATTACTCAAAACCTATGCAATTTAATAATCTTGAAAATAAGCAATGATTAGCTGGGGTGAAATACTCATACCCTCCCACCCCATTAACAGGTACAGGTAACTAAATGGAGGTTGTCAAAGGGTATATTAAAAGAACAAGGCTGGTGAGTGCTAGATTTTACAGATGGAAATGGAGCTCTAGGCGAATGGGCTGCTGTTAAAATGGGGTCAGAAGTAGTGTAATCTGCTGAGAACCTAGGGGGAGGGACCCCTAGATACAGGTGCTCATTTTTCTTTTTTTTTTTAAGATAGAGTTGAAAGTACCCATGCTGCCACCAGCTGGTTGGCTCAGTGGTTGAGTGTCAACCTATAAATCAGAAGTCACTGTTCACACAGTATTGGTGCTGCCATTTCAGCATCAGAGCTCAGAAAAAAAAGACTTTTTTCTTTTCAGCTTAATTGGATTCCAGATAATAGGTTCTCCTAGGAAAGATGAAACAATGTGGGTCTCACATTATTCTGATGCATTCTTACAAATGAGTTACTGAAAACTGCTATATTGCAAAACAGATTTACCTAAGTGTATACTGCTTAAAATGAAAATAGCCAGCTCCATAGAAACTACAAGGGGTTGCTGCCAGAGGTATTATTAATGTACTGGATAGAGACTTGTGTACACTCATATAAATGGATTTTTTTTTTTTAGTTCAGTTGCATTTATTTATCAACACATTTGTTTATCACTTTTACATGCTTTTTTGTTGCTATTTTTTTAACTTTTAAAAAATATATATAATCTTTCGATTTCAGAGGAAGGGAGAGGAGAGAAAGGAACATCAATGATGAGAAAGAATCATTGATCGGGGAAATTGTACTGTGACCTGGTCTATAGGTTGATGCTCAACCATTGAGCCATGCTGGCCAGGCTTGTTGCTGTTTTTTACTGTTTTACTGGTGACATTGAGGTTCTCATTTTGATTGTTCGATTATATCTTTGCTTCCTTCAATAACTTCATATCCAGTGATTAAACCTTTTCGCTGCTGTTCACATAATGAACTGCTGTGATTATTGAATATGTTAATGAGGATATGTAAGCTGTATTAAAGATGTTATTTGAAAAAGGCATTCGCTGTTAACACAAAGTAATTTAAAAGAAAACATCTCTTTTCAGGAAGTCCATTCTTGGAGATGTTGGAAAGATTCCTGGGTCTCGGAAGATGACTTGAAATATGCAGGGGAAGTAGTGTATCTTTGTGTCTTAACTATAGTAAGTATTCCTGTGAGTTAGAAAGGGAGGATTGTCCAAGTTAAAAATGGATTTATAAAGACATTGGTGAAATCTAATTTTCTGTTTTATGCTATAGAATCTCATTAATTGGTCACTTGGGAAAAAGTAACAGCTAATTCTGATTGAACAGGTATTGTTTTTGAGCAGTATTTCTCACAATAACCCTTTGAGAGCAAATAGACTTTTTGCTTTCTAGGACTGTATCTTCCTCATTAAACACCTACCCTTTTATTAGATTCTTAATTAGTTCTACTACAACCTTTATTTTGTTGTCCTGGCATAATAAAGTATATTTCTAGTAACTGATTTATATTCTTCTTGGTCTTTTCATCCTTTTAGTTCTCTGGGGTTTTTTTTGCTTCAGAAAGCCTTGGGGTATTGAAATTATGCTGACCAAATATAAAGACAGTTCTGAATCTGATTCTTCCCCCAAAATGTCAGACTTTTCCAGCTAACTCATAAGTTGTACATTTGATTTTTTTGGGTATGAAGTGTGACCTTCTGCATTACTTATGTATTGCTTTGTAACAAATTACCCAAAACTTAGTAGTTTAAAATAACAAACACTTACAATGGAGGGAGGGGGGACAAACTCTTTCACTTGGCATGCCTCAGTTTCTTAATGGCTATTGACTGAAGATTTCAGTTATTCTTCATTATATGAATCTCTCTTTAGGCTGCCTGCGTTGTCCTCACACATGACAGCTGGCTTCCCCCAGGGGAATGATACAGAGAGTGAGGCCAAGGTGGAAGCTTATCTTTCAAAAGTTAATCTTGAAACAGACATAACGTCACTTCTGTCCGACCTATGAACCAGGAGATCACAGTTCAATTCCTGGTTAGGGCACATGCCCAAGTTATGGGCTTGATCCCCAGTGTGGGGCATGCAAGAGGCAGCCAGTCAATGATTATCTTTCAGCATTGATGTTTCTATCTCTCTCTTCCTTCCCTTTCTCTGAAATCAATAAAACTATATATTTTGCTCTAGCCATTTTAGCTCAGTGGATAGAGATCCGTCTGCGGACAGAAGAGTCCCAGGTTCAATTCCAGTCAAGGGCCCATACCTCGGTTGCAGGCTCCTTCCGGGCCTGGGCCTTGGTTGGGGCTCATGGAGGAGGTAACCATTTGATGTGTTTCTCTCACATCGATATTCCTCTCTGCCTTTCCCTCCCACTCTCTCTGAAAATCAATGGAAAAATATCCTAGGGTAAGGATTAAAAAATATATTTTTAGGAGCACTTGTTTGGATACAGACTTTCATATGTCTAATTATTTGACTTCAGGGTCAAATATGAATCTCTTAATTCAATAATTAAGAGTAAAAAAAGCTTTTAAGAAATATATAGGTATAGGTTGATGCCTAACCACTGAGAAAAACCAGCTAGACATGTGCTCTTATTTGAGGTGCACATTTTCTTTATGCCTATGTATATAAACTACTTTAGTGATGTTACACTTCTTTGGAAAGTTTCTAGGGAGTTCATAAGAAAGTTCATTTTATAGTCGGAAAAAGCTCTACCTTGATCATATACTAGGTGTACCGGTTAATGTGGATTTTTTTCAGAAGATAGAGTTATACATATGTTGATGCATATGCGATTTGATATGTATGCGATTTTGTTGTATTGACAACAAGCTTCAAAACTTCATATGTAGTCAAATTTTCTGAAGGTGTTAACATCATAGATATTTTTACATTTAAAAATGTTGAATTTCATGCCAAAAAAATGGCATTTGCAGGAAGTTTTAATTCATTACTTTATTTTGAAGAAAAGTGCAGCTGAAAGTTATCGTATACTTCAAGGAAGTTTATAGTGAACGTGCTCCATCTCAAGATACTTGTGAACGCTGGTTTAAACACTTTAAAAGTGATGCTTTCAATGTGAAAGACAAAGAACGTCCAGGTCAATTTGAACCACCCTTTTATCATAAAATGACCAGAATGGGCCAAAAGACACGGCAAAGTAATTTTGCTTCATGATAATGCACCATCACTTCAAAACCAGTTAAAGACACGTTAAAAGATCTTGCCTGGGAAGTATTCACCAGACCTTCACCAGACCGCATTCACCAGACCTTGCTCCTTCAGATGACCACTTGTTCTGATCGATGGCACATGCACTTTCTGCGCAGCACTTCAAAATGTATGAAGAAGTGGAAAATTGGGTCTCTGAATGGTTTGCCTCAAAACAAGAAAAGTTCTATTGGGACGGTATCTACAAATTACCTGAAAGATGGGGAAATGTGTAGCTAGTGATGGACATTACTTTGAATAAAGCACTTTTGATGTTTCTCTTGAAATTACCGTGTTTTCTCTGATTACAAAATCCACATTATTAACCGGTACACCTAGTATATATTTTTTGAACCCGTTACCCCTCTCCTAATTACCCCCAGGTGGATGAGGTTAGAGAAGTGTTTGAAACTAAACTGTAGATAGAAATTGAATATCCCTACCCCTGATATTTTGCTTAGGATGTAGACTGAGTTGGAAAGGTTGAAATTTCTGTCTAGAGTTTTTCAAGGAATATAGTCCAATTACTTATAGGCAGTTACACAAATATTTAACATAGGATCGGGGGTAAAGATACAATTATGCATTGGCAGAATTAGAGCAGGTTTTGTTGTGTTTTTTTAAAGTGAAAGTGAGTTAATCAGTAAAACAGTGAGACAGAATGGGCTATTCCACAGACAGTAGCCGAATTAGAGCAGTTTGCCTTTTTCCCTCAAAGCTTGATTTTTATCCAGCATGGTTAATATACTTCCTTTTCTTTCTACTGCTGTCCCCCACTCCCTTCCAGGTGCTTCTGTCCCTCTTTATTTTCCTCTTTTAAAAAAAATATGTTTTTATAGAGTTACTTATTTATTTTTTTTAATTTTTGTAGAAAGAGAGAGGGAAGCAGAGACCAGCTGCCTCCTGTATGTGCCCTGACCAGGAATCAAACTGGTGACCTTTTGGTGCTCTGGACTGCACCCAACCAACTGAGCCGCACCTGCCAGGGCTCTGCCTCTCTTAATGAGTAAAATACAGGCCTTGCTAAGTAGTCAGAATGTTCTGGAGAATTCTCTTAGTGCCTGAGATTTGTAATATTTTCCGTCTTTTCCCTTTATCACTGCTTAAAAGTTCTTTGTTAGGAGAGACAACCCTCCCCTTTTAAAGTTTTTAAACTTTTGGTCTTTGGAAATCTTGTCTAATAACAAAAGCATTACATACAAACAGTTTTGAAATGTATTAAGGTATGATTACCCTTTCTGTATCAGATCTGATTGTGAGAAGAAGATAACTAAGTTTGCATAAGGGTAACCTGTGCAAAGTAGATAAATGATGTATTCACATTATCTTTGTTATGGGTTTTTTCCAATCATAGTAAAATTGGAGGTCTTATCAATTCTGAGAGAATTGAAATGTATAGAAATTTGCATGCATTACATGGTTTTTTTTAAAGGGTTAAGCAATGCAAACCTTATGACTAAAGCAAAAGGTGAAAATAAGAAAGTATATATGTCCAATGATTAAACTTTTCTCACTGCTGTTCACATCATGATTTATTGTGATTAATGTATGTGGATGAGGACATAATAGAAAAAGAAAATTGTGAGGCTTAGAGATACATAGTTTTTGTACATTGATTTACCTGTAATGTTTTTTCTTTCAGGAATAAAATTGAAGGGTGTTTTTCTTAGAAAACATTTGTCTGATTTATCTGATCATTGAAGATTTATATAATAAGGTAAGAGGTTTATAAATTAGTTTTGATAAAACAAAAAACGTTTGAGCAAAAAATTGACATTTGAGCATAATTTGGATATTGTACTCAATTAAAATTTTCCCCTTATTTCAGCTTTCAAAGATAACATAAATATGATTTCAAAGAAAATATAACTTTCTGAATCAATAGATTAGATTAAGAATAGGCCATTGGTGGTGGTAGGAGGGGGGGTTGCAGATTTTTAACCTTAATAGTCATTTTTTCTTAAAAATAATGACATCCTTCCAACCCCTGAAATTCTTAGAGATCATATGTTTGGGGGTTTAAATTTGCTGAACCACTGGATATTTTATAAGTACTCTTGATGTGCCAGTGGGTGATCATTGTATAACTTAAGCTTTGTTCAATAATAGTAGATGGCAGGTAGTTGGAAGCTGGGAATCTCAAATCTAATACCAGGTTAATCTGTAATTAATTAGGCATGTTGTCTAAGAAATACAAAGGGAAAAAATTATTGTGGATACTCTTTGTTTTTTCCTTTTTCCATAGACTCCTTTTGTTGTTGCTATTCCCATTTTCCCTTTTAATCATAAATCAAAGGAAAAGATGCATTGTTGGTCAACCTTTTGGTTGAATAGTGTGATTGTTACCAGATAGGAACTGGACCTGGAGTGGGCTGCTTCAAGCCAGCCTGTATTATGTGGGTTCTTGACTTTGTGCAGGAAAGATTTCACAATACGAGTCCAAGTGATTTTGAGAGTATAGTACATTTATTAAAGCTAGGGACAGTGAAACAAGGAAGGGCTTAGGATATAAGAAACAACGGGAGAGCTTAGGCAGGGCTGCTTTGACTTTCTAGAAAAGTTATAGGGGAAAAATGAACCTAGGCAGAGCTACTTTGGCTCACTGAGAAGTCAAAGAAAAGGGGGCCTTGGAGGCAGATATAGGGTGTTTGCTGGGGATGAGCTGCCACTGCCCATTGCTCCCCTGGTTGCAAGTCTTTAGAGTTTAGGAGATGGATGCCTGAAATGGAAGGTGTGGGCATGCTCCCAGAAAGGAGAGCATGCATGCCTCTTTTCCTTTTGTTTTCAATGTTGATTTAAGTTAATTTTCTCTGTCTTAAAAGTGGATGCAAACTTTGTTTATAGTCCTTAATGAAAAGATTTACAAAATAAATGCATTCAAAAATAAAACTAAAACAATATTAATGGGATGATGATACTGTTACAGTAATAAACATGGTACTAATTGCTATAGAATAAGTTGTAAACACATAAGACCTTGTGCCTTGTAATGACTGTAAAGTTTTACAATCTTGACAACAGTAATTTTTTGCAAATCTCAAGATTATTTAAATGAGGAGAGGGGCCTAAGTTATCAAAAGAGTATCTCTGGACTCTGCAAATCCTAATTTGAAGAATTTTGTAATACATTATCTCCAAACATTCTTCTAGCTCTAGTCCAGTGATGGCGAACCTTTGGAGCTCGGCGTGTCAGCATTTTGAAAAACCCTAACTTAACTCTGGTGCCATGTCACATATAGAAATTTTTTGATATTTGCAACCATAGTAAAACAAAGATTTATATTTTTTATATTTATTTTATATATTTAAATGCCATTTAACAAAGAAAAATCAACCAAAATAATGAGTTCGCGTGTCACCTCTGACACACGTCATAGGTTCGCCATCACTGCTCTAGTCAGTAATTCAGAGTCTTGGAACTAGCATTTCTTTGAAAACTAGAATTCCTTTGAAAAGCTTTTATTTAATCTAAGATTATGTTTGGCTAGTAGTTAACTAAAGTGAATTAAAAATTGCACTAATCCAAGTTTTTCTTTTTAGATACAGGTAGTCCTTACTTTGCACTGATCCAAAATGCATTTTTCATAGTTTAAATAAATAACAGCAGTCCCCCAACAATATGGTTGAAGTTTCAGTTACCACAACATTAACTGTGAATTGTTGTATAAACTTTGCTGCTAACTCTTATTCCACAAATAATTTTGCAAATAAAAGATGTGCATCATGATCAATAACCAGTTGCATCACTTCTTCTAAAGTCTGTTGGTGATTGGTCACTGAACATCTATTAGTTCACAGACAGACAGTAAAGAATAATTGTGTTGCCTTATTGTCTTCCAGTGATAAACCTATGTGACATTTTATAAAAATGGATAATCAAAAGAGGGAATTGGTCAACAAAGGTGACAGCAGTAAAGAAACAAAAAGTGATAACACTGGAGGTGAAATTGAATGTGATTAGATTTGAAAATGGTGATAGCAGACAAGATGAGATCTAAGCCTACATGAAGCTACAGTTCATATTTTAAAAGCTGATGAATATAAAAAACAAAGTAAAGTTGCATCAACATTTTAACTTTAAGTTTTACTGGGAACAGAAAGCCACTTATGGTTGAAATGGAGCATTTACTTCTACTTTAGATTGAGGACTGTAATCAACAAATCCCACTCATTTTCACTAGCATTCAGTCCAAAATGTCAAAGTGCTACATTGCAAGAAATGATAATTATAAGAAGAACATTTTACTGCCAGTAAAGACTGGTTTCATCGCTTCAGAAGTCTGCATGAATTCATTAACCTTAAATTGTCTGGTGAAACTGCAAGCTCAGGGAAGGATGCTACTGTGAAATTTGTACCCAAATTCTAAGAATTACAGGTAGTCCTGGCTTTGCACACTAGTGCAACACTACTGTGTAAAAAAACTGCAGGATTTGGATGGAATGTAAATGGAATTATAGAAGATATAGATGACCATGGGAAGTTGGCACTGCCTCCATTCAAGTAGTAGTAGTTCTGGATATGTAGTCAGAGGAATTCAGTGAAGTCAAACATGGTTGTGAGGAAAGTGGTTGGGTCATAAAGGATGAATGTGTATCAGAGGAAGTGATGCAGATGAAAAACTTCCCATTAAAGGAACTCTCAGATTTTTCTGCCATTGAAAGCACAAAGGATAAGATTTCAGAAGCTAATCCAAATTTAGAAAAGAGTATGATAATTTGCCAAGGTATAGACAAGAGCTTATGAAGAAATAAAATACTGCCCCACTTGTGTGGCTCAGTTTGGACCCAGGCACCAAGAGGTTTCCTGTTCAATGCCTGGTGAGGGCACTTGCCCAGGTCAGTCCCCAGTAGGGAGCATGCAGGAGGTAGCCAATCGATGTTGTTGTTTCTGTCTCATTGATGTTTCTATTTCCCTTCCTCTCTAAAATCAATAAAAACTTTTTTTTAAAAGAAAACACTATAATTTTCAATGTGTCTACTTTAAATATTTTCCTTTTTGTAGATATATAACCAACACCAAGAAGATTTTATGGTTTGACAAATTTTAAGTTCAGAATAATCACAGATTAAGATTGCTTTATACAGTTGCAGCTTGCATAGTGCAAGTGAGAACTACCTGCATTTAAAGTAAGCGAGGGAGGCCAGAGCTCGACATCTTGACCTGTTGCACTCACTCTTGGGCGAGGGGGCACGACATTCTAAAATAAATTCATCAGAATGACACCTTTTCAGGTTACTTTTGAAATAAGAGGAACTCTGTTTCCAGAAGTTTTTGCAATATGTGAAAGCTGTGATGCTTTGGGAAACTGGAATCCTCAAAATGCTGTGGCTCTTCCGGAGAACAAGGCAGGTGGAAGCATGTTTTGGAAAGCAACCATTGAACTCAGTAGAGGAGGTTCAGTTCAGTATCACTGCTTCAAAGGATGTTTTTTAGAACCAAAGGCTATTGGTGGCCCATGTCAAGTCACAGTTCACAAGTGGGAGACTCATCTGCAACCATGATCAATAACCCCTTTAGAAAGTGAAATTATTATTGATGATGGACAATTTAGAATCCACCATGGTGTTGAGACTTTGGATTTGGGATGGCAGATGTGTCAGACTTAAGATTATGTTCGCATTATTCTGAAAAGCTGCCTGTCTCAACCAAGAAAAAATTTTAAAAATCTAGATTTAGGTATGACCATGTGTATTTGTTACTTAGGCCATTTATTTTCATTAATGCTATAGAGCTCTTTGTTTTTAAATATATATATTTTATTGATTTTTTACAGAGAGGAAGGGAGAGGGATAGAGACTTAGAAATATCGATGAGAGAGAAACATCAATCAGCTGCCTCCTGCACACCTCCTACTGGGGATTTGCCCGCAACCAAGGTACATGCCCTTGACTGGAATCAAACCTGGGACGATTCAGTCAGCAGGCCAATGCTCTATCTACTGAACCAAACTAGTTAGGGCTAGATCTCTGTTTTTTAAGTGTATAAACTAATAAAAGAGTAAAATAAAATAAGCTAGGGAGTCTCTAGCTAGCTAGATGGGTTGGAGTGTCATCCCATACACCAAAAAGGTTGCAGATTTGATTCCTGGTCAGGGCGTATATGGGAGGCAACTGATTGATGTTTCTCTCCCTCTCTAAAATCAATAGTAACATATCCTGGGTTGAGGATTAAAAAGTAATAATAAAATAAAGTAAGCTAGAGAGTCTATATTTCACCAGATCAAGTCTAGAAACCACTATATTTGAGCCTTACCAGTTATAGCTGGCATTTTTCATATTGCCTTTTCATGCTACTATAAAAAGGCTTTGAAATAATTTATAATACTAAATGTTTCATTTTGACCAGGTATGAATCTATTTGTAGTCCAAGTTCTAACAGAACAGTTTGGCAAACTTCCTGAAAGGGGTCATATAGTCTCTAGCAACTGCTCAGCTTTGCCCTTTTAGCACAGAAATGGCCATAGATCAATGGTTCTCAACCTTCTGGCCCTTTAAATAGTTCCTCATGTGACCCAACCATAAAATTATTTTCTTGCTACTTCATAACTGTAATGTTGCTACTGTTATGAATCATAATGTAAATATCTGATATGCTGGATGGTCTTAGGCGACCCCTGTGAAAGGGTCATTCAACTGCCAAAGGGGTCGCGACCCACAGGTTGAGAACCACAGCCATAGATGATGCATAAACCCATTAAGCATGGTTGTGTTTTGTTGACCTTTTTTAAAAAATATATATTTTATTGATTTTTTTACAGAGAGGAAAGGAGAAGAGGGATAGAGAGTTAGAAACATCGATGAGAGAGAAACATTAATCAGCTGCCTCCTGCACATTCCCTACTGGGGATGTGCAGGCAACCAAGGTACCTGCCTTTGACTGGAATCGAACCTGGGACCCTTCAGTCCACAGGCCGATGCTCTATTCACTGAGCCAAACCGGTCAGGGCTTGTTACCTTTTAAGAATAAGATATTTGTCCAGCGAAAGGGTTTATTTAGGAACAAAGAATTTCAGTTTGGGACATTTGATCTAATGGTGAACTATGCATAAGTTCATAGAACAAAGAGGAGCATGGGGTGGGGGAATTCTAAAAGGCTGTTATAAAACAGTCCATTGAAGAAAATAAGAGTTTGCACTGTAGTGGCTTTTTATTGGCTGGTTGCTGGGGAGATCCTGCTTCCTATTGGAATAGAGTAAGAAAACATTTCCTGTTGGAGATGGAGAGTACCTCTTCCAGTTTGGGGTGATTGAGATGAGTGGTAGGTATCTAGAGCTCCCTCTACAAGCCCTCAAGTCCAATTTAAATGAAGTTTCTGTCTATTGATCTTCGTGGTTAAGTAAAACTGGGCACTGAAATTTGAACTTATTGTAATTTTCTCATGTCATGAACTATCCATTTGTGTGAATCCTCATCAGGATATTTTTAACATTTTTAGAGAGAGTGGAGGGAGGAAGAGAAAAACATGGATGTGTCTAAACATCGTTTGGTTCCCTCCCACACACACTCTTGACCAGGAATTGAACATGTAACTCTTTGGTGGGTGGGCCAAGACTAACCACTGTGCAACATCAACCAGGGCGAAATATTTTTCTTTTGCTCACAAGTTTTTTCCACAACATTTTTCTTAACTCACAGGGCCTTACAAAAGTGGGTGGGGAGTGGAGCTTTGTATTTGACTTATGTGAGAGGAACATGTAGTTGTACATCTGCTTTAATAGGATTACTGTGGGGAGCCGGCACGGCCATGGCATACTCGGGCCCAGGACGCCTTATGTGTCATGCCAGCTCAGCCTGGTTCAGTGACCCTAAGTGGGGGGTGAAAGGCTTAGAAAAGACAGACATGAGAACGAAAGCTGGGTCTCAGTGGGACGCTGCTTCCCTGATGAGGAGCCAGCACCCACAAGCCATGTCTTTATTTTATAGCAGATGCCACAAGGCAGAGTAGGGGCGTGATCAAGATGTTTACAACATTCTCATGAGTTTCACTCCTACTCAACTACATGCACCTGAACTATATCATTCAGGCATGTGGGGCCACATGTTCGGACCATAGGTTCAAGCTTACAGCTGTAGCTATTGGCTAATTGTGCTGGGAGGGCTCTGCCATCCAAGCTGGGACTTGCACGTGGCAACGAGAGGACTGTGTCCTCTCCTCAGTCCAAGGCTTGAACCTGTCCAAAACACTGTTGCCAGTCCCATAGATTACCTTAGAAACAGATTATTTTTTAAAATGAGAGGATCCAGCTCCCTTGCCAATTTTATCATAAAGACTGATTTTAATACAAAAGAGTAAACTGGGAGCACAGTTCTAAGAACATTTCCAGAGCAGTGACTGTGCCAATCACTTCTGAACATTTAGCTCTATAAATTTAATTGAGAAGCCAGTCTGGGATCCCTCTTTGTGGCTCATTGCCAGGTCTTCGCAGTGCTGGCACATGGAAGGCATTCAGTCAACCTATGTGGTGATAACTAAAGTGCAGATATCCCCAGTCCCCTGGAGAAGAGGATCTGGATCATCAGGAGGCCCCAACGGTGGATGCTTCCCAGTCCCATGACATTAGGCACACTGCAGCTACCACTCTTCATTTTTGTCTTGGAAGGCCCCAGCCCTGGTCCTGGATGAGATCAGCTGACAGGTTCTGAGCATCCTTGCCGAGACTCTCAGCAACTACCTTAGCTGTTCTGTCCAGTTACGGGGATACTTCACCTCCATGGCATCGATCTAGACACTTTGAGGAGCCAGTCTTCTCCAGTCCTTCCCCAGGTGATCACATGTCAAATGCTGCCCTCAGGTCTTAGCTCTTCACCCCTGACTTGGATGGCTGCTTCAGCTTCAAAATCACCTAGGATCACAGACAGGTCTTGGCTTCGCAGGGAGGCCAGCAGGTCAGTGTGCTCAGGATCTATCTCCTTCAGCTTGAGCAGCAGGGAGAACAGGTTGAGGCTGCTCAGTACACGCTCCAACTTCCTCTTACAGTGGCACAGGAACTTCAGTTAAGCCACTTCACCAATGGAAAGACCAAACTACACCAAGTGCAGCAGCGCTAGGACTGGATCCAGCGAGGTGACAGGCGAGCGGGCAGGCGCACCGGGCCTGGACCCAGACATCCACGTACATCCACCACCCTGGCCTGCCGGGGTCTGTTTCCGTCTACACATGCCTGCTGATGGCCCCGCCACCGGAAGTGTGCCTGCAAGGATTCTATTAGATGATACCAAAGAATGTAACCACTGAGTTTTGAGTAAGTTATTCTAATGAACCCTTTTATCATACCAGTGCACACTTCCAGATAGTACAGTGAGTTCAGTGTTTTCTGTTCACTCGAATGATACTCCCAGTTTGAAGTCAGGAATTATTATTGGCACCTCTTAGGTAAACTAGTCCTTGCAGCTAGAAATGAAAATGGAAGGCTTTTTAGAGCACTGGGTACTTTAGCCCAAGTAATCTGCTTGGGATGGTCTAGTTTAGTCGCATGGAAATAAACTTGTTTAAGTTGAACCACAACTATAAGACACTGAAAGGGTATTAGAGTATAGCGAGAGTACAAAAATGGGCTTATTCTCTAGTACTTAAATAGGAGTGTTTGCCATATGGACAAAAAAAGGTGGGGGTTCTATGGAAAGTAACTTCACAGGGTGATCTAATCAAAAATTCCTAACTGGGCAGTTCTTGGCCAGTAGTCATGCTCCAGGCATTTACCTTCTTTAGTAAAGGTTTGTCACTTAAC